TCTTCATCCCCACAGCCGATGCAATCCGACGGGACTCGGGCAGAAATCATGTTCATGGATGAGCTAATGATTTATTAAGGTAGTAGAATGAAGCAGGGTGAGGCTGAAAGCCGTCAAAGCGAAACGAGGCCGCTGAACGAGCGTGACACACAGCTCGAAAGCAGTGGAGCTTTTATTATGCCACAGTCGACCGCTTACGCTCCTTCCGGTCGTAATGTTAATGCGTTGCAAAATGATTCAAAGCGATCCATTCGGAACGCGTATCGCGAATCATGTGATTCAGATTGGGACTTCAAATTGCATATTGCATATCATTTGATTTAGGTCGGGACTTCGGGGCGGGTTCATGAATCTTTTTATTCAGATCGGTACTTCGGAGCGGGTTCATGAATCTTTGGATTCAGATCGGAACTTCGGAGCGGTTTCACAAATCTTTTTATTCAGATCGGTACTTCGGAGCAGGGAGCGGGTTCACAAATCTTTTGATTCAGATCGGAACTTCGGAGCGGGTTCACGAATCTTTTGATTCAGATCGGAACTTCGGAGAGGTTTCACGAATCTTTTGATTCAGATCGGAACTTCGGAGCAGTTTCACGAATCTTTTGATTCAGATCGGTACTTCGGAGCGGGTTCATGAATCTTTGGATTCAGATCGGAACTTCGGAGCGGTTTCACAAATCTTTTTATTCAGATCGGTACTTCGGAGCAGTTTCACGAATCTTTTGATTCAGATAGGTACTTCGGAGCGGGTTCACGAATCTTTGGATTCAGATTGGAACTTCGGAGCGGTTTCACAAATCTTTTTATTCAGATCGGAACTTCGGAGTGGGTTCATGAATCTTTGGATTCAGATCGGAACTTCGGAGCAGTTTCACGAATCTTTTGATTCAGATCGGAACTTCGGTGCAGGTTCGTGAATCATTTGATTCAGATCGGAACTCTTTTGATTCAGATCGGTACTTCGGAGCGGGTTCACAAATCTTTTGATTCAGATCGGTACTTCGGAGCGGGTTCACAAATCTTTTGATTCAGATCGGTACTTCGGAGCGGGTTCACAAATCTTTTGATTCAGATCGGAACTTCGGAGCGGGTTCACAAATCTTTTTTTCTGATTTCTTTTTTTATTAAACAGTAGAAATCATCAAACCATTAAGGCTTAGTAAAGTTCTAAAAAGCAAAACACAGAAAAAAGAAAGAAAGTATACAAAGTTTTTTGTAAGATTTTCAAGGGCATATAGTTTAGTAGGCCTGGATGCTATGACATGTCCCTACCAATATCAGCCACTACTAAATGTCCAAGCAATAATTTTGATCAAACAATTAAATGTCTGTTGTTTGCCATTATGTCCCCACCAATGCCAAAATCAATTTCAAAATCTTTTTTTTTTTAATATTCAATGCCACAAGAACAGTTTTACATAGTCACGTTATTAGCTTCCAGACAAAAAAGTTATATACATTTCAGTGCTTTTAAAACATTATAGGCTACCTTTTTGTTTTTAGTTCGTTCTAAACGGTTCATGTATAGTAGCCCATTTAAAACATTTGGTTAGCAAAGAGTCCTAATAAAATAAAGAATTGCATAATGTACTGTTCTTCACATTGCAAAATGTCATGCGGAAAAGAAAAAAAGCACATTAATATGAAATTCTCTACAACACACCCCAGTTTTTTTTGTTTTTGTTTTTTGAGGACAATGTAGCTAATACGAAGTATGCACACTTTTACTGTCGTAACAATATCTCTATCAAAGTTCTTGTATTCTATGTTTAATAAAAAAAATATATATATATATATATCTCTATCACGTGAGCGCTTTTTGCCGTCTCTGCGCAGACGTCGCGCCGCGCTGACGTCATAACTGTACGTCGCCGTCCTGCCGCATCAGTTTATTATGATGATATGATGGATAAACACTACAAATCATCACTACTTCTTTAATTTATTACACAAACAGCGATATGGCGGAGGCAGAGGGTGAGATTCATCACATGCGAGTGTGTTTGTTTGATCGCAATCATCGTGCACCTGCTCTATAAGACAGTCGTGTTATTATTATGGCTTCATTTGAGCGCATTTCATGTCTTTCTTTAATGTGTTTGGGTTTATTCCCGCGTGTGTTTTTTAGCATGTTTGTGCAGCACAGATAGAAATACACATGTGAAATCTGATCTGAGTGATATTTCTGTAAGGCCTCTGCGTGCGTCCGAACACCTATTACAATGTATTTCTTAAGAGATACTGCAAAAATAAATAAATACATAAAATAATAATAATAAAAAGGCCTATGGTACTACTATGTTTTCATGGTTTCATTCAGTGGATTTGTTTTATATATTTATTTTTATATCCTTTTTTATTTTTATTTTTTTACATTTAGTTTAAAAGTAATTCTAAACATGTAGTTAAAGTGTTTACTTAATATTTTTAAGCTGTAAAAAATTATGTGGCTGTCAGTGTGTGACACAGTAAATCTCGCAGTACTACAGTATTTTATTAGAATATGGATTTCAGCTGCTGCATGATATTGCAGTATACTGTAATATTCACTGTGTTGCACACTGACAGACACATTATTTTTTTACAGCTTAAAAAACATTTTAAATGAACAGTTCTGCATACGTGCTTGAAATTAGTTACAAATGTAAAAATAAAAATTAATAAATTGAAAAAATATTACAAATAAATAAAGATAAATTGTTCCTAGTGTATGTGAATATATTTTGAATTTTTATTTTAAATGCATTTTTTAGTGCATAGTGATGAAAAAGGTGAAGAGGTGAAACGGTGCATGATTTCAACACTGTATACTACTTTAATAATCACTGTGTTGCACTCTGGTAGTTATGTGTTACTTTATTTATTTTATTTTTACAGCTTAAAAGCCATTTCATGAATACTTCTGCTTACAAGCTTGAGATTAGCTTTAAACTAAAAAAAAATAAAAAATACAATATAAAAATCTAAAAACAGAAAGCCTAAAAATAAAGTGTTCACTCAAATGAAGCCATAATAATAACACGACTGTCTTATAGAGCAGGTGCACGATGATTGCGATCAAACAAACACACTCGCATGTGATGAATCTCACCCTCTGCCTCCGCCATATCGCTGTTTGTGTAATAAATTAAAGAAGTAGTGATGATTTGTAGTGTTTATCCATCATATCATCATAATAAACTGATGCGGCAGGACGGCGACGTACAGTTATGACGTCAGCGCGGCGCGACGTCTGCGCAGAGACGGCAAAAAGCGCTCATAAAAAAAATATATATATATATATATCTCTATCACGTGAGCGCTTTTTGCCGTCTCTGCGCAGACGTCGCGCTGACGTCATCACTGTACGTCGCCGTCCTGCCGCATCAGTTTATTATGATGATATGATGGATAAACACTACAAATCATCACTACTTCTTTAATTTATTACACAAACAGCGATATGGCGGAGGCAGAGGGTGAGATTCATCACATGCGAGTGTGTTTGTTTGATCGCAATCATCGTGCACCTGCTCTATAAGACAGTCGTGTTATTATTATGGCTTCATTTGAGCGCATTTCATGTCTTTCTTTAATGTGTTTGGGTTTATTCCCGCATGTGTTTTTTAACATGTTTGTGCAGCACAGATAGAAATACACATGTGAAATCTGATCTGAGTGATATTTCTGTAAGGCCTCTGCGTGCGTCCGAACACCTATTACAATGTATTTCTTAAGAGATACTGCAAAAATAAATAAATACATAAAATAATAATAATAAAAAGGCCTATGGTACTACTATGTTTTCATGGTTTCATTCAGTGGATTTGTTTTATATATTTATTTTTATATCCTTTTTTATTTTTATTTTTTTACATTTAGTTTAAAAGTAATTCTAAACATGTAGTTAAAGTGTTTACTTAATATTTTTAAGCTGTAAAAAATTATGTGGCTGTCAGTGTGTGACACAGTAAATCTCGCAGTACTACAGTATTTTATTAGAATATGGATTTCAGCTGCTGCATGATATTGCAGTATACTGTAATATTCACTGTGTTGCACACTGACAGACACATTATTTTTTTACAGCTTAAAAAACATTTTAAATGAACAATTCTGCGTACGTGCTTGAAATTAGTTACAAATGTAAAAATAAAAATTAATAAATTGAAAAAATATTACAAATAAATAAAGATAAATTGTTCCTAGTGTATGTGAATATATTTTGAATTTTTATTTTAAATGCATTTTTTAGTGCATAGTGATGAAAAAGGTGAAGAGGTGAAACGGTGCATGATTTCAACACTGTATACTACTTTAATAATCACTGTGTTGCACTCTGGTAGTTATGTGTTACTTTATTTATTTTATTTTTACAGCTTAAAAGCCATTTCATGAATACTTCTGCTTACAAGCTTGAGATTAGCTTTAAACTAAAAAAAAATAAAAAATACAATATAAAAATCTAAAAACAGAAAGCCTAAAAATAAAGTGTTCCTACTGTATTTGAATGTTTTCTCATATTTAAATTTTTTTAATATGTTTTAATGGATGTTAAAGCACATATTGAAGCAAAAGCATCATCAAGGTGATGCAAAATGTGAAAAGGTGGGAGAAAAAGGTGCACAACAATATTGCAATATACTGTAATATTCACTGTGTTGCACACTGGCAGTTACATGCTATTTTTTATAATTTCTTTTTAAAGGAACGCTTCTGCATACATGCTTGAAATTAATTTTAAATTAATAAATACATTGAAAATAATATCTAAATAAAAATAAAAATATATAATACAAAATGTAAAATATAAGAATAATTTGTTCCAACAGTATATTCAAGTTTTCTCATATTTTAAATTTTGATTTAGATATCATCACATTTTTAGCATACGCGTTCCTCCTTTAATAGTGTTCAAAAGCATCCCAGGATGCACCTCATGAAGTTCGACAAGAGAATGTGTGTTTGGTAATATATTTACTGAAAAGCTGGTTTATTCTCCTCAGGCATCAGCAGTGCCACTCCTACAGAGGAGATAAACGGCGCCGGGAACCTGATGGACTTCTTGGACGAGCCGTTCCCAGACGTTGGCACTTACGAGGACTTTCACACCATCGACTGGCTGAGAGAGAAATCCAGAGACACGGACAGACACCGGAAGGTGAACCGGACTGCCTGACACTGATAGGGTGCATTTTATTAATTAGTGCACTGGTTTATTTTGTGTGTCTTTGCAGATCACCTGTAAGAGTAAAGAGTCCATCTGGGAGTTCATTAAGAGTTTGCTGGATGCCTGGTCAGGATGGCTGGTGATGCTGCTGATTGGTCTGCTGTCAGGTGCAGAGACATGACATCACTGACTAGAAATACGCCCATTAATGACATCACTGGCCAGAGACACACCAACTAATGACATCACTGTCCAGAGATACGCCCACTCATGACAGAGACACACCCTCTCATGACATCACTGTCCAGAGACACGCCCACTCGTGACATCACTGACTAGAAATACGCCCACTAATGACACCACTGTCCAGAGACACGCCCACTCGTGACACCACTGACCAGAGACACGCCCACTCGTGACACCACTGACCAGAGACACAACCACTAATGACACCACTGTCCAGAGACACGCCCACTAATGACATCACTGTCCAGAGATACGCTCATTCATGACAGAGACATACCCTCTCATGACATCACTGTCCAGAGACACGCCCACTCGTGACACCACTGACCAGAGACACAACCACTAATGACACCACTGTCCAGAGACACGCCCACTAATGACATCACTGTCCAGAGATACGCTCATTCATGACAGAGACACACCCTCTCATGACATCACTGTCCAGAGACACGCCCACTCGTGACCAGAACTCTTTCAGCATGTAACGTCTCTCCGGTCTCTCTCAGGCACACTGGCCGGAGTGATCGATCTGGCTGTTGATTGGATGACGGATCTGAAGGAAGGCGTGTGTCTGTCTGCGCTCTGGTACAGTCACGAGCAGTGCTGCTGGACGTCCAATGAGACCACCTTCGCCGACAGAGACAAGTGTCCTCAGTGGCAGAAATGGGCTGAACTGATGACGGGATACACTGAGGTACAGCAGAGTGATTAATAAGTTAAAACTAATTTTTATGCAATGATTTTTTTAGGATTTCCAAGGGCTGCATAAAACCAAAATCGTGATATGGCTTAGTGCAATTATCAAATCACAAAATCTGCAGTTTAAATAAAGAAATGTAATAAATAAATATATTTCCACCAAAATAAAGTTGCACTGTAATATAAAATTATGATTATTATTATTATATTTTTATTATATTATTTTTTTTTCAATACTGGATTTTTTATTTTACAGTAAAATTACAACTGTAACATTTCTTAATGTCTTTAATATTTTTATTTAGTAGAAGTAGCAGAAGCAATAATAATTATTATAATTATAATCATTAATAATTATTTAATAATAATTAAAATGCACAAGATTTTCTATTTTACAGTGAAATATTACAACCGTAATATTTCTTATTTGTTTAATATTTTTATTTATTTATTTATTATTATTATCATTATTATAATAATCATGTTGATATATAATTACAAAAAATTGTGCGGCCCTACAAACAAGCACAGCAAACCTGGAATTTTTAAAATCGCAATCACAATTTTTATCAGAAAAATAAAATACATCTTAATAAAATCTAAATAATTTCTAATTAGTTTCTTTCAAATCTAAAAAAAACTTTTTTTTTTAACTTTACAATGAAATATATTTCTTATTTTGTTTAATAGTTTTTATTTAGTAATAATAATAATTATAGTTACTATTAAATATAGTCATATTGATATGTAATAATCACAACATTTTGGGAATTTTTTTAAAAATGCCATTTGAAATTACTATTACAATTTTTATTAGTTTTTCCCCCCTCCTATCATGCAGCCCTAGTTTGTGTTTCTCTTCACACTCTGATGTCTGCGTGATTCTGTCATCAGGGCGCAGGTGTGTATGTGCTGAACTACTTCCTGTACGTGCTGTGGGCGCTCTTCTTCTCCTTCCTGGCCGTGTCTCTGGTGCGAGTGTTCGCTCCATACGCCTGCGGATCAGGAATACCAGAGGTGCAGAAAACAAAGCTAATATGTGACCCTGGAGCACAAAAGCAGTCATAAGTAGCACAGGTATATTTGTAGCAATAGCCAACAATACATTGTATGGGTCAAAATTATAGATTTTTCTTTTATGCCAAAAATCATTAGGATATTAACTCAAGATCATGTTCCATGAAGATATTTTGTAAATTTCCTACCGTAAATATATAAAAACGTAATTTTTGATTAGTAATATGCATTGCTAAGAACTTCATTTGGACAACTTTAAAGATGATTTTCTCAATATTTTGATTTTTTTGCACCCTCAGATTCCAGATTTTCAAATAGTTGTATCTCAGCCAAATATTGTCCGATCCTAACAAACCATACATCAATGGAAAGCTTATTTGTTAGATGATGTATAAATTTCAATGACTTATGACTGGTTTTGTGGTCCAGGGTCACATATAATATAATATAATATAACTGTCCGAGAGGACTGAGTGTGTGTGTGTGTCATTCCAGATAAAGACAATCCTGAGCGGCTTCATCATCCGCGGGTATCTGGGCAAGTGGACGCTGCTCATAAAGACGGTCACGCTGGTGCTGGCCGTGTCATCTGGCCTCAGTCTGGGGAAAGAAGGGCCGCTCGTGCACGTCGCCTGCTGCTGCGGAAACCTGTTCTGCAGCCTCTTCTCCAAATACAGCAAGAATGAGGGCAAACGCAGAGAGGTGTGCACATCTGCATGCTGGACTAGACGTGACTGATGTAAGACAGAAGTCAAGGGAATATGCTGAAATCTTCTTCTGCATACGTTTGTTTCAGGTTTTGTCGGCAGCTGCGGCCGCAGGAGTGTCGGTTGCGTTCGGAGCTCCAATTGGAGGAGTTCTGTTCAGTCTGGAGGAGGTGAGTCTGCAGTCATGTATTAAAAAATACAGTAAAATAGTGAAATAATATTGCAATTTTGAAAAACTGTTTTCTATGTGAATACATTTTAAGGTGTAATTTATTCCTGTGATGCAAAGCTGAATTTTCAGCATCATTACTCCAGTCTTCAGTGTCACATG